GTCGTAAATGGGCCGGCCTTCCGGGGCAAAGACTAAGGCCGAAGGCCCAAGTAGAAAGCGGGCCATGTCCAGGTCCGCCGCAGTAACAACGGACGGTAACCCGACCGGCCGGACGATTGAATCAAACTTGCCTCGCGGCCGTCCGGCAGAGCCGCCACCGTCGTTAGAGGAGCGGGGCTCATGGGAGTAACCGCCCCCGAAGAAGAGGGGGTCGGTTGAGAAGAAGACGCCAATGGAAGACTTGCCGGAATTTCCAGAGAAGGAGGAGGAGGAGGAGGATGAGGAGGAGGAGGAGGAGGAGGAGGAGGAGATGAGATGAGATGATGGGGAAGTCGCTGCTGGGATCTCAGCCAAGCGACGACGAGAAGAAGAAGAAGTGGAGGAGGAAGACATTTACCAACCTGAGTGTGGACTGAGGAAAATGCAGAGAGGATCGGAGATGCTTGGCGCAGAGTATGGAGAGTTGGGAGAAAGTAAGGAGAAGAGGGAAGAAGATGGCTATTTAAAAAGGGGGGGAACCCCAACGGACGGCCACGCGTCACCCTCTCATTGAAGAAGAGAAGGGTGACAAGAGGTGAAAAGACGCCGTAATTAATGCCTCGGAAAACGGGGAGACGGTTCAGACCTAGGGCTAGCCTACGGGCGGCGCGTCTACCCTAGGCGTGAACCGGTGGCAGTGACCCGGCCTGCTAAGCTAAAAGCCCATCGTAGGCCGCGGCCTCTGGGCCCACTGGGTCTAGGTTGGAAGTTTCCAGAAAGGTCCGATGGAACCCGGTCCATCAGTCGACACGAGCAGGGCTCACAAAAAGATTCCGGTCTCAGAGTCGGACAACCAGATTTGACAACTCTTCAACAAAGAAAGTTCCCATGGGGGAGGGGTTGGAAGTCGATCAAGGAATGGATGAGCATCAAGCAAAACAGGAAAGCATACAATTTATTCGATAAACACAAAAAGTACAAGGCCCAAGACTCGGCCGAAGGCAAGATACAAGGGAAAAGCAGATCAGGTCCAGCACATCTGGGGGCACCACGATTGGATCTGAAGCCGAGTCGCCCAACAAACGCCCTCCATTAGCCAGCCTTTTTTGCTTCAGCTTCTCCAGGCGAGCATGTTCCTGGTTGCGGATGGACCAGCGGCGATCACCGTCTCTGTAGCTCATAGTTCCGCGCTTTTGGAAGTAAGGTGTGTTGTGCTTTGCATGGACCATGAAAGGTCCTTATATAGCCCTAAGGAAGCGAATACCTAGGCGAGAATCACGGAAGAGATTACAACTGACATAACTGAACCGGATTAGACGGGTGGCGCGAATCTCTGTCAGAGATTAGTTCCATCAAATCTGCCTGGGAAGAGCAAGATTCGCACGGTGCGCAGAAAAGATTAGATTCACCCGAGATATGGGGAATCTTGCAGATGCCAGACTGAAAAAGGCCTGACGATGTGACCGACTCCTCGACCAGTCGGCCGGAAGGGTACACGACAAACACGAAATATAAGACAAGGCAGAAAAATAGCATTTTATTGAAAAGAGGGGGATGCAACGAAACGGGAGCTTATTATAACAGAAATAATTGAAATGCTCCTAAGTAAACCCCTCGGAAATACAAAGCTGACACTGGCCGAGGTGATCACTCGCCAGGTGAAGAGGAGTCGCTTCCAAAGAACATTCCCCCCGATGGCCCAGGGGGAGATGGACAGAACGAATCCCAGAAGGACGGCATGAGCGGTGGGACCACGGGCTCCTCGTCATCAGGATACGTCTCCAAGTAGCGAGCATAATCCTCATCATCCATCAGGCCCGTGACTAGCCCGTCCGGGTCATCCAGTGGGATGGAGAAAGTCATGCGAAAAGTCAATTGTTCGGGGACGGCCACCTCCACAAAGGACCCATCTTGAGAAGTCACCCTGGCGGTTGTTAGAGTCGGCGGGCAGAGCAAAGACGGCACAACCTCCCGCTGAGGCGGCTGAGGAGTTGAGGAGGTAGCACCAGTAGGAGATCTCCGAGAGGTCGGTCGAGGAGCTTTCTTCTTGCTTTCTCTCTCAGGTCGAGTCCGCTTCGAAGGAAGGGGACGTCGAGGAGATCCAAAATCGATCCGCTTCCCTTTTAGAGGTGAGTGACCCATGGTGGACCAATGGATGAGATGAGGAGAGCAAGAGGCCATTTATAGGGGCTGCACAGAGCTAGGAAATCTAAACGGTTCCATTGAATCCGGGAAAATAGCAAGGAATCCGGACGTTACGAGGGCTATTCAATGCAAGGATCCGGCGATTGAAGAGAGCGATCGGTTATTACTTTCCCAAACCCGGAACGAGAGACCGGGTACGGAAAAGTGAGGGACTAGTTGATGGGGTGAGGACCCCGACCCAAGGAAGATTGGCCCAAGAGAGGGATCCAAGGTAAAGGACGTGGGCCAGCATCAAAAGAGGCCCGGCGGATGCTTGGGCCAAGTCCAGAAGCCGGCCCAGGCCCAAGCATAAGAGATTCGACTCGGTGCCACTAAGAAGCCCAGTGAGAGCTTGGGCCGGGTCCAGGAGTCGACCAGGGCCCAAGCCCGGAAGGGAACTCGGTTCAGAGAGTCGTTAAGAGAGCATTGAAGAGCTTCATTTAAAAAGACCCAGAGCCGTTGGGGGCATTAAAAGCAGGACTCGGTCGACCGGTTACAAATCTGTGAGAGCCGTTGGCCGGCTTGGTAACGACATCCAACGGCTCGATAATTGTAATTAGCCTTCAAGTCGACCATTAATGGCCTTCAAGTCGATAGGAGGGGAGCCTGCTATATAAAGGCTCCTCCACCCGTGTAAAGGGAGAGGGTTCATCCCTAGAGAAAGGAAAGAGACACTTGAAGCCATTACGAACACTTTCATTTCTTTTACAATTTTGTGTGAAAGGTGAATCCACCAACTAAGGTTGTGTTGGACCTCCTTGGGCCCGAAAACCCAAAAACCAACAAAGGAAATGATGGTTATACAAAAATCAGCAGCCCAATCCATTATCATTTGTAACACATAAATAAGTATATATATAACCCACTACAAAGCCCAAAACTCAAACCCATTATATCAACTAAACCCGACCTAAAACCCGCCCATATACAAACTAAACCTAAATCTAAACCTAACCTCAGATCTCTGCCCCCATCGCTCCGCCCCCTGTCTACACTCTTAGAAACAACAATCTCTTCCAAAAATCTGCGAAGGAAATTATACCACAATTCACTGCGATTTCCTTCTTTCTTTTGAACATTTTCACACGGATTTCTTGGATCCGTGTAAGAAATTAGTTTGGAAAGAGACTAATTTCAATTTATATTCCCATTTCAGTACATACCCACATGAGTCCAAATACTATCAGCTTTTACCCAACATTTTCCTTTCTTGTCTTGTATTATTTCTTTCAGATTCTTGGCTCTAGTGGTTCAGGCTCTCTTGTTTTTCAAAAACAGAAGAATTCCATCGCCTCTGCATGCAATTCCAGCAACAAATCTACTACGATGTCCGGCGGATCTTGCGGCAGTGGGATGAGATACCAATCTGTTGGCACTGGTTTGTTCATTCCCCGTAGATATGGCTGTAATACTCCAAAACCTACCTAGGATTCACGCAAAACTACAGGTATTTTTTATTTTATTTTTTTTAAATTTTCCTGATGTATTTTGTCCATATTCTTCATTGTTTGTTCGGCGGTGGCTGTATTAGACTAAAATAGGCCGAGCTCAGTGGGTTTTTGTTCCTGACTTGGAAGAATTAATTGAATTTAAAGTGAGAGGGCGAGTTTTATGGTTAAAAATAACGGAAATTATCCCTCCCCTTTTTGTTTCTTTCTTTTTCACAGGGTTTAACCTTTATTTTGACTCAATTGAATTTACTGCAGAACGATGTGGCTGTTGTTATACTGTGTCTAGACTAAATTAGAAAAGAATTCTTTGGTATGGTTTATGCTTGCCTACTTGGTTGTTTGTTTAGTTGAATAGAGTACGGATGGTTTTAACGCGTATTTCTTGTTGTATTTAGAGAATGATGATGATTATTATTATTATTAATTTTTATTTTAAAATATATTAATACAAAAAGATCAAAAGAATTTCAGCCTTAACAAAAATAATTTTTAATTTTTTTCCCAGTTTTTCCTTCGATAAATAAAAAATATGCAAAATATTTTTGTTTAGTTTTGATCAATTAAAAGTGAAATGGTGATTTTTCTAAAATATATAAAAACTAACTAAATACATTCAACTTTTTTTTAAAAAAAAAAGCCCAAAATTATCTTTTAAATTTTTTTAAACAACTTTGGTTACATCTACATATGTATCTCAGTTTACTTGAACAACTTTCTAAACTACCTATATGAAATATTAACTATATAGCAGCAATCAACAACAAACTTCTGCCATACTTTAAAAATGGAAGTGTTTTTAATGATTTTAATCACCTTGAATTGCACATATTTTTGCTGGAATTGACAATAGTTTTTTTTTAAAATCTTATGTAAATCTTTTACTGATGGTAAATTGTTTTGATTCTTCATTGCTTTGAATGAGCATGCAATTTTGTTTTACTTATTTTTTAAAAGTTGTTTTGATTCTTCATTGCTATGTATTTTTCAATCTGTAACTTATAGACAACTCCATCACACTGAATTTGACATATTTTTTTTAGCACTCATTACTTGTTTCAATTCAGTTACTAACATTGTACAATTAGAGACAAATGATGCTAAATTAGTCTGATGCCATTTTTTTTTTCTAAGAAGAAAATTGCAGCTATGATGTATAAGTTAATATGCAATTCTGGTAAACTATTTGGAGTGCTTAACATAGTTTACTCAAATTTAGTCTCTTATATGATGATTTGTTTCCTAATATGTTTGTGTTATCTATATGTAATTGAAAGTAATGACTATTTCCCTAGCAAAACATAGACTTAAAATTAACATTAGAATACATTAGAATGGCTAATGGCTTGCAACTCAGACAAAGTCAGTTTCCAAAAGACCAAAACATAACCACCCAGCTAGCCCTATTAAGCATACTATTAAATAAGCCTTAAGATTAGACTCCAAGCACTACAGTCATCAAAACATTCCCACCTAAAATAAACAGTAGGGCATAAATACAAATATAAAGCAGCCCTATATAGTTACCTAATTTTACAATTTGGATAACTAAACCGAAACACAAATTTCATATTAGGGATAAAACCTAATCTTACATGTTTTTTGCTGTAAATCTCCTCAATAGAACTGACCACCACTTCCTTAGAAGGTTCAACACCAAGCCTAGATGAGGATTTAATACACCTCAATGGAGTAGAGTCACCTATGAAGCTACTAAAACAACACAGGAAGAAAACATTTGGTGTTTAATTACCAAACAAATATTAAATTAGGACAGATTTCTAGATACACTCACCTGCTCTTCAATGCAACAAACTTCTTATGTTGTTTTCTCCCCTTGTTTCAGTGACAACATCTATATACACTAAATGTTTATAGATGTAAGCTGTGGGTAAAGATCAGCATACACCACAACGCAGCCTAATGGCCTCGGTGGTAAGCTGTGGGTGAAGATCTGCACCAACAATGAAGACATACTTCAAAGATGCTTACTGGAGAATGGAGATTGCAATTGGTTTAACTTTAGATGCTAACGGGAAATTGTATTCTTTTTCGTTTCTCTTTTCTCTTCGAGTGATGGTAAAATATGTGCCAATCTGTATGTATATATAACAGCGGAGATGATCTCCTTTAGATATTATTATATTACTAAATATATAGAGATTATAGGCATCCCGTACCTCTAAACACCTAGAAGACACGCAAAGAAGACCATACCCATACCAACTCTACAATAGGCCAACACCCTAAATATTAGGCTGAAAATCACACGCAAATATGATCTGATATATGGAATAAAATATTAATTTGAAAACAGGCTGGACATTAGCATGATTTGATAAAAAAAAAAAAAAAAAAAAAAAAAAACAAACAAACTAAAACGGTATAGTTTTTATTGGGCGGGAAAATGGAACCATTTGATTGGCTGAAATTTAGTGGCCTTTATATGTATATAGATTTAGAGTCTTTTAGGTATGTTTTAAATGTCTTTTATACATGATTTATGTTAAATACATAAGGGTTATAGTGATGTAAATAGTTAATGAGTGGTATGGCTAGATAAATAGATAAAGTAGAAGATGAAAAGTTATGCATATATTTGTATTTAAAATTTTAGGAGAAAAATAGTTATTCAAATACCTAAACTGAAGAAATGGAAAACTATTTTCCAAACAAAAAGAATGAAAATAATGCTAGAAAACGAATTTTCTAGAGATAAATGAAAAACATTCTCAATTACTAAACACACCCTTTTCACATTCAAATTTTTATTTTTATTTTTACATTCAAATTTTAAACTAGAAATCCATAATGGAGATGGGAGAGAAGCGACACACAATACCTCTATATAAGCACGGGCACACTTCTATCGCTATAGATTCACTTCGGTCTAAAATTATGAATAATGGAGAGTGAAGCAGGGGAACCGGTTGTTTGAATGCAGGAAGGAGTCATTCCGTTGGCTCAGCTTTCTTTGGTGTATCAGACAAGGTGACCATAGATCTAAGAACACCAGGGCTGATCCTGTCAGCAAGAACTCCTTTCTCAGATATGATAAACGACTTCTCCTTTACATAGCTTTGAAGTTTCTTAGCTTCATAATCCAGTCGAGTTTGATCTGTTTCAAAGTCGAAAGTACTCATGTCACTTGAACCATTTCATCTTTTGAACTTTCATGAGGAGCCCAGAATTTTCAAAAATAACTGAATTACTAGAATGATAGATTAAATAACATCATACTAAAGTATTAAAGTATAAAATAATATTAGCGCCAATCCAAAAAAATTTGTTATTACTATTTTTGCAATAAAACAAAGGCCTCATCCATCACTAACAAGGAAAATATGCTTCAAGATGATGTTTTCCAATAACAAGTCTTCTAGATCATTAAAGCCACTCTCACAACATCCAATGGAAGAAACCTTCCACACAATTATGTGATTACATTTACTATACCAAGCTAACATTAGCTCAATTATTAACATACAGACACATCCATTTTCCCATTCATGGAAATGAAAGAATTATAAGTGATACCCCTATATCACATATAAGGGTCAGTACACGAGTCAAGCCGATGCCGAATAGTTCAAGCTTGAAGCTTAGATCAATTAGAAAAATCAAAGGTCAAACTCAAGAGCTTGACTGAGCTCTAATATTTTGAGCTCGAGCTCAACTAAGTTCAAGCTATTCGAACTCAGCTCGAATATGCTCACTATAGTCTTTTTTTCTATTAAATGTAATAATAATAATAATAATAATAATAATAATAATAATAATAATAATAATAAGTATTTTACATCCAAATATCATAACAAGCTCAATATTACATTTCAATTATAGCCATTTTATTACATATAAATATAAATATGTAAATATATTAGTTAGATTAGTAATATATATATATATATATATATATATGAAAATATATATGAAAATAAAAAAGAAGCTCCATTAGGCTACGAGTTGCTCAAGCCTAGTATTAAGAGGCTCGACTTCGACTTGACTCATTGCTAGAACTACTTGAGCTCAAGCTCAACTTGACAGTAACCCAATATAATACAAATATTTGTAGAATCAAGTTCAAGTAACTCACAAATAGCTTGGCTCATCTAATTCACACATATATATTGAGACGATCATATCATCAAGAAAGAAGCATAAACACTAAACAGTATGGTCAAAGAAAGAAACCTTGCTCAAGAATGGTATGGACAGCATGAAATGGAACACTAGCAAAAATATCAGTGCCAGGAAACATAAGCCAAGTTGTCTCCTTCACGTCATGTTTGCCACAAGTTGAACAAACCTCTCTCACCAACAGTTTCGTCTCAATCTCCCTCATTATCGACTCAAAAGGTGAAGGAACGCTGGATTTTGTTGTCTTTGCTCTCTTCCTTAATGCTGTCAATGCTTCCCTGTTTCCATTCCTTTCCCTATCATTTTCAACTAACTGCAATTCCATCATTGAAATTCACTTATTCTCTTAGAACTATTACGGAGTATTATTTATAATTTTTTTTTAAAAAAAAAGAAGGTGCACAGGCATTTAAAGTACCTGCTGCCGTGCTAATAAAATGTTCTCGCCTTCAATTTCAACCTCAATTAACTTTTCTTGGAACTCCTTCATTGTGGCATCCATTGTAACCTTTTAAAATGCCTAATACATAAGAAACTATAAGCACCTTAAACTATGCAAAGACCACATAGCAAAATGTACAACCAAAGGCAATGAAGCTTATTCAAAATTATCAAAAAATGGTTTGGAGACAAGAATCAAGTCAAATTAGTAATTACATCATGAGCAAGGTACACATAGAGAAACCAGATATACAAAGTGATAAATTATAATGATATTAATTCTTTTACAATTTACACAGACATACGGCTCGGTGAGGAACAACTTGGGGTGAGCAACTGAAAAACCGATTGGAATTTTTTACTGTCATAACCGACCAAAGTCAACGCTATAACCGAAATAAGGAATTAGGGATTAGGGGCTCACAACACAAATTGACAAACTTAACAAAAGTGATTTAAAAAAAAAAAAAAAAAACTGGAAAGCGATGGCTTTCTTGTTCCCTTTCATTTTTGCTCATTCTTATAATGTCAATTAGTTTAAAGGAGATGCACGAAATAACTTGATTTATCTGCAATATCAAACTACTTAATTCCATAGATGCTGATGTTCAACTACACAAGTCTAAGGGAGAAATTATCCCCACAATTCCATAGTTGCACAAACTCTCACATTCATTATTTATGCTTCTGTTCATTCAATCACAAACATAATTCTAATTCACATTCACTCAAAATTGTAGGAAAAACAATTTAAAACACAAATTTCCAGAAGAAAATAAACAAATACTCAAAGAGTGGTATGTATAAAATTAAAATATACAGATTAATATGGTAAAATCAAAGTAATCCAAGCTACATATAGAATTAAGTTTCTGAAAATCCAAAATGCAAAGAGGAATAAAGGAAGCCAGGGCCCTCCACCGCAGCCCCTGCCCTCCGTCGCCTCACTAACCCAACAGTAGGAATGTAGGATTAAAGAATAAAGAAGAAAACTCACCTCTCGGCGTTCAGCGTCGGATTGTTTCGGCGTCCCTGCGGAGAAGAAGATGAATTTCAATTTATGGCGAGGGTTGCGACTTGCGACGCTGCGCAATGAACACTGAGTAGGGAGTAGGGACTAGGGATGGCAACGGGGCGGGGCAGGGGCGGGGAATGGGTCCCCGTCCCCGAAATGTTCCCCCATTCCCCGTCACGCGGGGAATTTTCGGGGACGGGGAATCCCGCCCGTTTTTTATTTATGCCTATTTAAAAAAAAAAAGTTTAAATTTTCAAAAAAAATAAATAAATTATGCATTCTGCATTCTTTGTTATAATATGCATCCTGCAATCTGCATTCTAAAAAAACAAATAAACTAGAGAAACATAGCCTATTTCCTTGTTTCTGCATTCTAAATAAACTAAATAAACTAGAGAAACATAGCATTCTGCAATCTGCATTCTTTGTTTCATTACATTAATGTTCAATAATAGTTTAAACAAATAAACATAGCCTATTTCCTTAATACATTGATCTGAAAGCAGATTATCATGTGATGACTGATTATGTGAAAGCCTATTTAATATTTATACAATGAAATATGAAATGTGAAACTGTAAAAGCAGAATATGATTTACCTTCACAATCTTCACTCCTTCAATAGTCAATTAGTCAGTACGGTCGCCGGTGAGAGACGAGAGACCAGGGCTGTGGCCGTCTCGGAGACTGCCGGACTTGCGGAGGGAGAGACAAAGAGGGAGACGGCGGTGGTCGTCTTGGTCACTGGTCGAGAGTCAGATGGCGACGGTCGACGGAGCAGAGAGGGAGTCGTCCACTCGTCCGGCGAGCACTCCAAAGGCGACGGCGAGTCGGCGACGACGGCTTGTTGCCTTGTTGGCGAATGGCGAGGGCAGAGTCAACAGTGCGGCTGTGAGTGACGATGTGTAGAGACTAGAATGCAACAGATTAGGGATTTAGGGTAGAAATGTTGAATTTTTTTGACTTTTAAACTTTTATTATCTCTATCTCTATATTCTACTAGTATTTGACCCGTGCGCTGCACAGTATGTAAATTAAAAAGTATTAATTGTGTGTATGTTATGTTACAAATTGTTTGAACTAATGTGGTTAAAATTTATAACATATAAATGAAATATGATTGGGAATTCAACAAAAACTATATGAAAATGGTATATTACAAATAGTTGCCAAAGTCATGAAACTAAGAAAAGAGAACTTTACAAAATTACAAATTATTGAAAACTTCATGATATACAACATTAGTGGTTGATGTAGTAGTTGAACTTGGGTCTTTGACTATCAATATTTTGAGACTGTCTGGATTGTTAACCCGAGATGCAGCCACGTACAACTGACCGTGTACAAAAACCGGTTTCTTTAGTATTAAACCAACATGAGTCAACGTTTGTCATTGACTTTTGTTAATGGTCATTGCATATGAAAGCATAATTGGAAATTGCCTTCGTTGAAACTTGAACGGCAATCTTGGATCAGAGGGTGACATTGACATTCGGGGGATCAACACTTTTGTACCTTTGTTAGGTCCAGTCAGGATCTCGCCTTCAATAACATGGTCTGCTAGCTTTTTGATTATCAACCGAGTCCCATTACACAAACCAAGAGAATGGTCAATGTTTCTCATTAACATTACCGGTGAACCTATTTTCAAAGTCAATGCATGATTTGGTAGACCTGACACCCTAATGCTGTTTAGAAATTCCGGTGTGTGTACATCCCCAAATATATCGTTGTCGCCATCGGCTTTGCATACTGCGTCTGAACTATAGTACGACCTGCTTTCGGCATTATGCAACTCAGTCATATAGTCATTGATTGCGTTGACCACATCGAGCGTTGGTGCTAATATAGCACGACCTAGCAGATGCTCGGGGTCAGTGTTTCCTTTTGCAAACATAGGAAATGTACTATGCATAATTGTTTTAATATCGTCCCCTCCAGATGGCAGTAACATGTGTTTTGGAATTTCAACCTCTGCGAAACCATCATTCCGCCCACCCAGCTTTCCATCACCAACATTAGCAATACAATCGGCAAATTCTTGTAATGCCTGCCGGTTTCCACCGTTGGGTACCGAACTTAGTCTTAGGTTTTGAGTCAACCTTAAAACTTTGCAACTATCCCATAGATATGATGAATTTATGGCTGAAGAAACAATATCTTGCCGTGTACCTTTTGGAACTACCGGGAGAATTTGGCGGAAATCTCCACCCAAAACAACTGTTTTACCACCAAACGTCTTCATTTCACTACACGGGTCTACAAAACGCAACAAATCCCTCATAGTTCGATCTAATGCTTCAAAACAATGTTTGTGCATAATGGGAGCTTCATCCCATATTATCAAACTCGTCTTTATCAACAATTCAGCCAGGTCGCTACCTTGCTTAATGTTACAGGTTGAGTCTTCATTTATTGCAATAGGTATTGCAAATCTTGAGTGAGCAGTACGGCCACCTGGTAACAATAGAGAAGCTATGCCACTTGATGCCACATTTAAAACGATCTGACATTTGCATCGGATTGCAGCTGACAACGCTCTCCACAAGAAAGTCTTTCCTGTTCCACCGTAACCATAAACAAAAAATAAGCCACCTTTACCGTCTTCAATGTCTTGTATAACCGTATCATAGATGAGACTCTGTTCTTCAGTTAGTTTTGCACACAGCACTTCAGCATCTTCTTTCAACTGCTCACGATTGTAACATAACTCTTCAAAAACCAACCTATTCTGAAACAACCTTGAATTATCTGTACTTGGTATTGGCATCAGAGGATAGTCTTTTAAAGATTTATTTTGTTGCCCCAATAGGTTTTCCAATTCGAACAATGCAAAGTTCTTTTTCTCTTCCTCTATTAAGACCAAATCTGTTACGATGCCAACAGTCAGATAGTTATCCATATAACTTAATTGATATTATTGTATAAAAAAGAAGTACATTACCTGGTTGTTTTAATATTCTTCTTTGACAGTGTTGAGCATCTTCAGACAAATGTTGCCACACTTGATTCCAAACATTTTCGGGCCTAATAATTGATGAGGATGTTAGTAAGACAACAAATAGCTTCCTTAATGAATATGCAGTTGACCAGTAGCTTGCTTCATTTATAGCATCAATGTATTCTTTATCATCGTCTAACAATCCATGAGCATAACATGCATCTCTAAAGGTCAAGTACTCAACACCATTAACTGTCCTAATATCTTGGAAGCCTTTTGGACCACGGACTATGTTCAATAGACACCTTAAATAAAAAATTTCTCCTGAAGCTGGTGGTACATAGAATATCCGACCAATTGAGAAACCCTTCTTTCTTGGATGCCATTCACGGATGTCCTTTTTCCACACAAATTTGGTAGGCATCTCAATGTAAGTTAATAAGCTTGCTTCTTTAAACTTCTGGTTGGCTACAAACCATGCGTTAAACATACTTTGCCCAACGGTTTCTCTATTCAGGACATGATCAATGGTATCATCGTCTTGGAACACAACTGATTGGCAGTCAGGCAAGTGAAAGCTTAGTCGCTCAACCGGTGGAGTTCTGTACTGAACTTCAAAACTAAACAACCACCAGGCTGCCTCGCATGCAGAGATGTACCTGTAGTCATATTACATGTTTATTTCATCCACTATCTCATTACCAGCTTCATCCATTGTAGTCTTATAAAACTCAGCCGTTACACGGTCATTGTCCTTGTTCACATACTTGAATAAGTACTTGATTGACCTAGATTGGTTACACCACTCTACATTAATGTGTGCTTTGTATTTCAAGAGCAAGTACCGATTATGTGGTACAACATACCTATTGTCCAACTCTATTCCATTTTTTTTATTGTCCTCTTATCATCCCTTCTTCGATACAACGGGTAACCATCCTGGTCAAAATGGGATGCATCAATATATCTCTTTGGAAAATGTTTCGAGCACTTACCATTTACCATGCACGGTGAATTACTCCTGGCAACACCACACGGGCCGTGCAACATGAATTCTTCGACCGCTTTGTAATACTCGATGTCCTTCAACTTCTCTGGGATCTCGGCCGAAATGATCGTGTCCATAAAAGCAGGATTGGCAAAGCAGCTCGTCCCTTGTAGGAACAGTAATATGTGAGCATGTGGAAGACCCCGTTTTTGAAACTCAATTGTGTATATAACTGTTGCAAAAACGATTACATGATGTGAGTTCTAAGATTCGTATGATTAAGTACTGTATTAAAAAATGATTTTATAAGAATATGCGGAGCGCACCTGCCCTTACAGCACCAAACAGTTTCCCATTTTTTATTTCTTTTACTAAGCAATCTAGCTTCATCTTGAAAACTCGGCAAACAATGTCCGGACGATCTTCAGCTTTCAAATTTCTTTTCTCCAAAAAGCGCTGAATCTCCGGCCATTTAGGATTACATGTAAAAGTAATAAACAGGTTTGGATAACCTATAAATCTGCAAATTGCCATGGCGTCTTGGTAGTTCTGTATCATGTATCTTGCTCCTCCCGTGAAACTTGAAGGTAGTATTATTCTTTTACCTTGAGAGCTAGGTTGCACTTCACCTCGTGTTAACGCATCAGAAAGACCTTTGTACGCCTCACATCTCAAAGCTTTTTGATTTGACCTAATATATAGCAATCTCGAAGATTCAACCATAGTATACGCATCAACCAAGAATTGTTGGAATAACCTTTTAGCGTACATTATAATTGAGATCTCATTTGATCTTTCGTGAATACGGAACGCGAAGTACTCTCTTTGTGAAACACTCTTTCTTGCAAAAGTTTGTTTATTACTATGTGTTGCAAAATGTATATCTTCCCTAAAACCATCCTCTCCATATGGAAATAAAATTGGGTATTGCAATGGTAGATACGCTGGGTTTAATTCACTTATTCGTTTAAGCATTCCAGATCTAGACTCGACCACAATATCACATTCACCCATGCAAGGGTCTAAATCTCCAACAATGAGAGCGGCAACCTCTGAAGTAATTGGTAGCGCATACGTTCTGGCATCTTTAGACCTCTTCCCTATTAATCTCATTCTAATTTCACTTGTAGGATTAGATTCCATAAATGACTTGGCCA